TCTGCAAATGAAAATGAAGATCAGTTAGTCACTGTAATGGTTTGCAGACCGCAGGCCTTTGGCTCCTGTATAAGACTGCTTTCCATGTGTACGTTTTCATAAAAGGATGCAGATGCATGAAAGCTTGATTTAAAACTACAAGCAATGTCATTCCAAACACACAATGCCATCTGAAAGCATTTCCTTGAGGGGAACCGTGACACCTGCTGACATGTTCTATGATTTAATGAGGAAACAGGTTGGCAAAAAATATATACACAAATGCACAAGTTGACATAGTGTAGTTCACCAAAGCACTCACTCATCACAGTGTGGTGTCTCTTTGCTGAGAGAGGAGCAGTAATAGATGTATTTAGGCCCAAACTATGACAACATGTCCTCTGTTGATTCAACTGATGTCCTTGATCGCTACAATATGGTCACCCACCAACCGCTAAATTCACCATAGCACGCATTTGGTAAACGTGGTGTCCCAGCAGGCTGTGTCCCTGAATTCCCTGGGGAGTAGCAGATGTTGTTGTCTAGACCCTTCAGGATTGCGCAACATAACTGAAACCAAATCCTCTAGGAGAAACAAACTGTAGCATTACTATTGAGTGTCATGTTTCTGCAGCTGCACCACAATAACTGCATTCATTTTTCCTTTGTTTATCTTTAGGTCTGATGAAGGATGAGGAAGGGTAATATCTCCTTCTCGAGCTCGGTTTGTTGAAAGAATTGTCACCAGGAAACAGCATCTTGTCAGAAGAAAATGTAAAGTGTTAAGTGTTTTTGATGTATAATGTCTAAGCTTCACAAATACCTGACTTTTTATGTGTGACAAATATTACAGCATTAAGTAAATGCTACTGTAATAACTGGAGAACTGAAGAGGATACAAGAAAAAATAAACTTTAATGTCAAATTTTGGCAGTTAATCAAAATATGAGTTTTATGGAAAACAGGCTGAGCTAACACAAATTATTTTGGCATGTTCCCTTATTTGCATTTTATGAGACACATTTTTTTCCATGACAAACCTGTCAAATGTTTCTCTGGAGACCTTTTTGAACATGTGGCTATGTTAACATACATGAACAGCAACATACCAACGTGCACACAGAGCCCACGTGTGCCACATCAGCACAGAGACAACAGGCTTTCAGCTCGGGGCCATTATAAGCTGGATGTGGTCGCTGAGAGGCTTAAAATAGAGCACTGATCCGATAATGGACTAAAGTTTATGATCATTAATATTCAGAGGTCTGGACACACGTGTCAATCTGTGCATAGAGAGGCAGGGTGCCACGCCCACGCACACAATTTCACATGAAATGCATATACTGATGAGTAAAGTCATGATGCCTAGCATGCAAATAAAAGTCTTTCAATTGCTCCATGTATAAAGAGGAAAAATACATTTTCCCTTTTGCTGCTTTTAAATGTCCAGCTTAGAGTGTGTGTTTGTGTGTGTGTGTGTGTGTGACATGAGGATGATAGCACTGAAATGCTAAACTAAGATCAGCACGTTCAACATTAATTTGTGTCATCATCAACAGCATCAACAACAAAGCAATAATAACAACAGCCATGCACCCTGGTCTTTTTTGATGTAGCAATGGCTAAAGTTTAACTTAAGTTCAACCTACTAGCTTCTCCTCCCAAAAGATTTCAAGACATCTAGCAGTCTTCATCAATGGATGGAGTGTGCACAGTTCACCTGTTACCATCTGTTACCAGGCAACCAAATGAAAACAAGACACAGTCAAAATCTCTATCGATGTTGTGAACACCTTGTTGACTTCTATTACTGACATCATCAGCCAGCATGAACGCGGAGACAACACCAAAACCATTATCAGCACATGTACACAATGCTAAGAAAACAAAAAATTCCAGATGTGTAAACGATCACCAACGACATACAACAATAACAATACCAGCAATTCTGTCAGATGACAGAAAACAACACACACACACACACACACACACACA